CATTCTATCTTTCTGTCGCCATCGCCATCCTCATCCTTATAAGCTTCTTCATAAATAGGACATTAAGATGAGTTTTACATCCTCTCCAGTCCAAGATTAACCCTCATGAGCGAGCCATCTACGCAGCTCTCTCGGGAAACCTCTCTGCCCTGCTTAAAGCTCTCAAGTCGGAGTGCTGGGACGACGTCCTGTGGGCCCACTGCTGTGCCATGGTAGAATCCCGTGTCGACGCCTGCGTTCGCAGCCTTCTCAACTGTGGTCCTCGCACAGACACAATGGTAAAACTGTTTGGCCTCTATATTTGCCCGCTAACTTGTCCCCATTCCTTCTTTTCTTCAAAATATTATGACTTTTTGAGCTGTCATGAAAGCTCTGAACTTCAGATAACGGCAAGATGTTTACCACAAATTAACGTATTGGAAAGTTTAGCATTCCTTCTTGCTAATTCTGGGGGAAATGCGCCAGATAGTTAAAGGACCTATTGATGGTGTGTCTTAAGCATCATGAGCTGCAATAGACATTCGGGTATAGGTGAATCTCCCCGGTGGGGTCGGGTCGTAGCTCATACGGTGGAGGACGTCCTGTTGGGTGCTTTATATTCCAAAATCTTTTTAACTCGTCATTTGGTTAAATCGGTAGACCGCCACAGCTTACGGTATTATTTCTTCTCCGTGACAACCTGAAATTAGGCCAACTTTTTAGTACTAGTGAATGGAGGCTCACCGATCAGCTACGGGACTAACTCGTCCCATTCTGCCTCGGGGCTCACTCTTGAGTCCCACCAGCAGCCGCATAGCGGCTAGTTGCGGGTAACACAACGAACCCGCGGCTCAATATTCAGAGCGTTTGACCTCTATTCAACTGGCCATATGTACGAGCGTCGAGTGCTGTACCACCTTGTGTTGGAGATGGCTGGTTGATGACAACTACTCAGTCCGAAATGGCCATTCCAGTCTTCCTTGTCTTCGTCGGTAATGCTCTTCTATTTTGCTAGTGTTAGTTTTTGTGTGAAGTTCCGTAAATTGCTCGCTTTCACGTGTATTACTTATTTAGAAATGCGGTTTGGCCTACTCCAGTGTCTGCAACATCGCTAACCAAGACCAACCACCCTGTAGCACTGAAACGTAGACTCTTAAACCGAAAAATGTCGGACCGTGTGACCGCTCCACTTCTGCATTTGGCGCCTTTGTCCACTTTTTCACCTAGCGACTACGATGACGACATAATTTAGGGTTTCATGTGCAGGTTTGCGCGCAAACTGACAAAATGCGCAAGCATATCAACTAAGGCCTTACTGGATTCTCATCTGGAAAATTAAGGTATAGAAAGGCGATAAAACACTAAAATATTGTGCCATGGCAAATGTTTCCGGCTTCACCCTCATTCATCAGAATCCTACAGCTGTACGGACATGCGGGAGGTGTACATGTTGACGTCCAGCTTCAACTTCGAATAATTATTCTCCTACAAAACCGTTCCACAGAATTTTGCATGTGTCAACCAGGTTCTTGAACGTCTGCATGGCTGTCGTTCGTGTGCTCTACCTGTACTTGCCAAAAGTCAGTGATGCGGGGGTGGATTTATTTCCCGTCAGAACAACAACGACAAAATACCCGCGGTGCCGATTAAAGCTTCCTTCTATTAGCGGTAAAAATTCGCATTTCGAACGTAGCTCATCATTAGAAGTAACCTCATTCATTCGGGGCGACAACGATTTACAGCTGCGGATCAGAAAAGATACCTATAATTTTACTACTCAATAACCTGATAGTAACCTTTAGAAGTAACTGTTAACCATGCGAAGTTCTATTATCGACTTTCGCACGCGTCGACGTCTGATATCTTGCCTAAGGTACTTTATTAAGGACTTAAG